CATGGCAAAGTCGCACATAATGTCCATTGGTATTTTTTTAAAAAAAATTTGATTTGTTCTTTCTCTAGGTCTAAGAGTTTTTTGAATATGTCCTTGAAATATGAGATTTCTGAAGTCTTTTTGTCAAAATATTAATTTATAATTATAGCTTAAACTAATTGACTATCATACTTCAGAGAGATGAGCTACATTGATATTCAATGGGGTGCTGGTGATTTGTCTAAATTTAAAAATTATGAATGTAATTCTTCTCATTTTTTTTCAGCTTCGTTAGATCTAATGAATTTTTAGAATTGTCACTGTTGCATGTTTGATGTATCTATTGTTATTAGTGGAGATCTTATAGAATAAAAGTTTTTTAATTAATAAACGGAAAATACTAGTAAAGGAATAGCCATAGATTTTCTGTGGACACAGGGCCGAGCGGTTGTCAGGAAAACATTCGGGCAGATTTTGTGCAATATGCACAAGATATAACTTTATATGCATACGGCGTAATTCACTTTTAATAACGTGTAATTATAGAACAAAATTTTGTGAATCCTACACATAATATAAAAAACGATATACAAGATGCAATATAAATCTTATATATATATATATATATATATATATATATATATATATATATTGATCATGAACTTTCAGGTACGATTGCAACCTGCCCCTCCTCCATTTGCACCAAACCACCTTGAATGAGACAACAAGGTGAGTTGGCTACAAAAGGTTTCAAAAGTTTGGAATTTTTAATAGCCTCTGATGCCATAGAGTCATAAAAAGCATCATATTTTTCTCCTGCTTTTCGGGCACACGATGAATTCTTTGTAGTTTTTTAATAATATCCCTTTGGATCTGTGTAGAAAGGGGAATCAGTTGCCTGGCCTTTCTGTTATTTTTCAAAACATGTGACTCGGGGTTTAGGCTCCTCTCCACTAATTGGGGAGGATTTTCTTTCCATTACACCTATATAAATATAAATATAATATTATTTTTTGAAAATCAAAATGATTGACATTATATTCTCTAATTGTTTAAAGTATATATGAAACTTGAAATTAAATTGTTTAAATTTTATCGTTGAATCAAACTTTAAAGCTTTCATTATAGCCTTGATCCATTTTGCACCATCAAAATGTTTTGCGCAAATTGATCTACTTGTGAAAATAAAATTATTGACATAAATAGATTATTGTGAAAAATTTAGATGTATAAATATATAAAAATATATAGATAAATGAAGAGAAAAGTAATGGAGAGAATCCCGTCCTGTGACTCAGAACTTTATCTATGTTTGTTTTGCCTTTTTTTTATCTATGTTTTTTCGCCTAAACACTAAATTGCTAATACAAATTTATGCCTGAGCAATCTATGTTTTTATCAGGTATTTAACCCCAAAACTAGAGTATGGTGTTGGTTTAATTACTTCAATGTCCTCAAACATGCCCGATAGTACTTGGTACAGCTGCTCATGGGATGGTGTGATGGCCTTTGTTAGGCAAAACGGTAACGTAATTTTCTGCTAATTAATGTCCACAAGCATTAGTGAAATAATTATAAATCTGTTTGGATTAGCTGTTTTTGATATATTTTACTATAATAGTATGTGAAAAATTTTTATTGTAGATGTTTTTAATGGTGTTTTTAAAAATATATTTTAGAATATCTTTAAGATTTAAAATTTTAATGAGATATTTTTAAAATTTTATAGAACTTTTACCACCACCCTACCACTCCACCACCCCTTTCCTTCCCCTCCCTTCCTCCTTCTTTCTCCCTTTTCCTCCTTCTCTTTCTTCCTCCCCCTTCCTCCTCCTCCCTTTTCCTCTCCTCCCCTCTACTCCTCCCCACCCCAATCCTGCAATCCCCTACCCCTCCCCCCTCTCTGGTTGCCGCCCACGACTAGATCTGGTCATGGCCACTAGATCAAATCTGGTTGCCATGGCCAGTGACCAGAGAGGGGAGGGAGAGGGAAGGGGAGTTGTGGGAGAGGCTGGGCGGGGAGGGGAGGGGAGAGGAGGAAGAAGGGGGAGGACGAAAGGGAGGAGAAAGGGGAGGGGAAGAGGGAGAAGGAAGATGGAGGGGGAGGACAGAAGGAGGGGAGGTGGCGGCGGGTGGTGGTGTGTGACGGGTAAAGAAGAAAGAGGGGGTTTTTTTTTTATTTTTATTTGAGTGTATTTGAGACGTGTTATTTTCTTGAGTTGTTTTTAAAGTTATTTTTTATAGTTTATTATTGTAAATTTGAAAGACTAAAATAGTTTTTCAAAAAACTCTTGAATCCAAACGGAATCAAGTCATTATAGACATGCAATTCAATATTATCTTTTAGGAGACTAATCAAGGTTCAAGGTCATAGACACTAACAGCACCTACTTTCGTCAAACATATACACCAAAAAAAGAGAGAGAGAGAGATTGATTGAGAGAGATCATAACCATTGGCTTTTAAAACTATTGTTAAGAGTCACTAGTGTTCACAATTTGAATAAATAAGATTTAACTCTTGAAAAGTAAATATATAAAGTGTTTACATTTTTAGCATCAACAATTAAAAATGCATGGATTGGATCAAATATTCAGATCACAGAGGAAAATGTAGTTCATCCCTAAGAAGTGGAATTACCCTAATTGCATTGCTCTGCTTGGTTTCTCAAGTTTTGTTGAAGAGCCAATCCTGTAGAGCTTAGGGCATTAATCGGGCACTAATTAGCAAGTTTATGTTCTTCTGGCCATGCACAATAATTGATACTATTATGATACCGTGCAAAGTGCTTTGAGGTCCTACGAAATGGGTAGAGAAATTACGAAAACTAAAAGAAACTTATATATGTATATGTATATGTATATATATGTATCATCATTTCTGTATTTTGTTGCCCGGAGAAAAGAAGAAGACAGTAAAGAATATCTTGTCCTGACTAAAAGATTTCCAAAAATATGAAGATGGTGTAACATCAATTTTACGTACTTTGTTACATATTTGGTATTACACTCATTGTACATTATGTGTTCTAGTGATAATGAGGAGACATGTGTTACACTAATATATAAAATCTTGGTAAAAATTGCCATACTAAGAAAAGCATGAGCCTAATTTCTCTCTCTGCAATTTAGATCAAATGAAAAGCAAGCAAGCCTTGCCAAATAGTTGTAATTCGGACAGTTGAAGGGAAGAGGAAGTTGAAGTATATATATTGCATTAACTAAATTCAAGACCAAGATTTCCTTGGAATAGAGATGGATTAGGTGATTTGAGAGAGGGTGTAAGTGATAGATCTCGAATTCAAACCTTCCCACTTTACAAAAAAGAAAAAAGAAAAAATGACCAATATTTTTGGAAAGCAACTGCATACAAGTGTCATATTTTGAATTTCAGATATATAAGTGCCTTAGGTAAAACCAAAATTCTTTGAACAGAAGACACGATGTCAATTTGTATTGTACATGGCAAAAGCACAACCTGAAATAATTTGAGATATGGCAAATTGCTCAAGCAGAAAATGTAATATGCAAACATGGTCTTCCAGAGAGTATCTCCATACCATGAATTTGATGAGAACAAAGCATTGAAATTAACGTTAAGGACAAGAAATAGCTCATCAACAAAGGCTCAATCAGAATCAAGCTACATCTATTTATACCTGAAACTTTCTGCATTCAAGGGAATGACCAAAGTAAAGGCCAAAGGACAAAGTAAATTAAATTAAGCTGTATTAAATCAGGAAGGTGTTTTGATCTTTAAGCTGTACTAAATTATGAAGGTGATTTGATCTTTACATTGTCAAGAATTTGTATCTGCCTACAACTTTTTGTCAAACGCTAAATGCCCTATACCTATTTAATGTCCCGCTCTTCTGCAAATACTTTGGTTATATTCTGGTTGAACCTTGAAAATACTGGGGCTACTCGACCTTAATGAAATGATGCACTAGAAGCCTAGAAGTAGCACCAGATAGCGTGGTTTTAGGGTTTTCTCAAATACTAAGAGAACTCTGTGCATTTCACTTTTGTTCATATTACAAACAGTTTACGTTCAAGTGTTAAAGAAAAGTATAACCTGTGCAAGTGTACATGTAAAATGCCACCTAAACTATCTCTTAGGAACCTAAGGACTGTGTTTTTTTAATGCCCCTTCTTCCTTCCCTCTTCTTTCCCTCTTCTTTACAACCATTTGATCAACCAAATTCAGGTATCTCCCTATTAGGTATACAACAACCTCCAGCATACAGCTTATGTTGTTGAAAATAAAGCATCATTATGGAATACATATGTGAAGGGTACTTTTCCTAACTCAAACAAATTATCGGTGATAATCTTTCTATGAAAGTCTATCTTGTTTGACAACCCAAGTTTTCCATGACATTGAAGCAGTACCATATATATATATATATATATATATATATATATGCAGGGATGGATATTAGGAGATGCAGTATTGAATCAACGCCAACTAACTGGGAGAAAAGAGTCCCATTGAACTCTATTGAAGGATAATTCGAGGATTTAGAAAAGTTGTACCTAACAATATGTACCTCCACATACAATCCAATCTGTATATCGAAAAGAACCAATCAAGTTTTATTATCTTCTGTCAATTTTGCTTCACTATGATCACAAAATATTATACCCTAAATCGTGTAATTCACATGACTTATTTGCCTTGATCAGCGAATGCTGGTAACTTGTCACCTCCTGGTCAACTAAATTAGTGCATTCACTCTGCGTTCCATATGTCAATATCACAAATTTCTCCTACTTCACATTAAGCTGAAAGAATTTCTTTCTTCTGTATCTATCAAACTTTCTTCAGTGTAAATGCATGCACAAAGCAATTACATTAACTCACAATATGGCCAATCATAAGAAGGGAAAGAATGGACAAATTTATCATCTTATCCTGCATATCAAAACATACCAGATTTAGGGTATTAAAAAGCCAATGCTAGAAGAGGATATAAATATGCAGAAGAGAATTTTAGGGTAAGAAAAAGCTGGAAGATATGATTAATCATGGCCAAGAAGAGGTGTTAAATTTCAATTAGAAAAGAACCTGGATTTCACATTAGCAATTTTGTAACTCACCTAATCATGTGTTTTTATTATTTTACTAAATGAGAACCTATTAAAAATAAGCAGGACACCGAAAATCTTCAGAAACCTGAATCTCTTGGCAGTTAAAACCTTTTGAACTTATGAGACTCAAACAAAATGAGCCCAATTCCTGCATTGCTTTAGGGCTCGAACTTTTTCCAGGTCATGACTTTTTCAGTCAGCTTTTCTTGCAAAGACAATGGATCAACATCTCTCATATGACTGGCCTGAAAACAATTTATTCAAACCATGTAAATAACAAGATGGCCAAAAAGTTATTGCAGTGAAAGTATTTGACTCATTCGTCATATCTGTGCATCATAATTGTACCTCAGTTTGGATTGTGTAAATAAATTCTTCATTGACTCTGGTGCAGACACAGCTAACAACAGTAAGGCCTTCGTCAAGCAGCACATCCAGTATCCTTGAAAGTGGAAATAAATTGGTATCGGCCACGTATTTCTTCATTAAAATCTCAATTCCACCAGCCGAGCATGGCCTGACAGTAAAGTTAATAGAAAAAGAGTTTTTTCCCTCTACATTTTTGACGTGCACATGGCTTGAACCGCCTGTTAAGTTTCTCAGCTTATCCCTCTTAACTTCCAATTTTCTAATATTCTTCTCGACCTGTTTTATATAGTTCTCTGCCACATGAACATGATCTGTTATCGAACGCTTCCCCTGGAAAAAGAAGAAACTTATCAATAAATCTTGCATTCTTGTAGTAGTACTAAACTAGCAAAAAATGCTAAATGAGTCAGCATTGTACTTTTTTGGACTGTAAGAAAGGAGTATAGGTATAAGGTTTGTAAAAGACACTTAAAAAGCTAATAAGTGTTTTTTCACAGGCAAATTCCACTAAGTTAACAAAAATCCAATTTTCTAGATGCCAATGATCTATACTCGTGGTTATGCATAAAAAGTGAGAATTCTCCAATAAAATTAACTTGTCAGTATAGCTTCGTCACCTTTGTGTATTCAAGAGGCAGTAGATTTCTCAGAGAAGCATAAAGATTAGCCATTTCTTGCCTCCTTTGACGCTCCATATCTCTGTGAAAGGTTCTTTTCTGCTTCCTGTCATCAGGGTTCTTCCCACAATCATGATTATCAGCTTGAACAGCTGGTGATGGCTTTTGCTGCCTTTTCCTGGCCGTGCTATTCCTGTTCTCCCCAGTATTCAGTTGAGGTGAAACAAGTGAAGATGCACCCTGATTTACCAGATCTTGACGATGGATTGTGGGGTCTTTATGGTAGAAAGAAATGGATGGGATTGGAGAGTACTGAAAAAGCAGCGGATCATCTTGCTGTAAAGGAAACAAATAATTGGTGAAGTCATCCATGTTCGGACAGCTGCTTTGTTAGGTTGATATTCTGTGTGATATGATTGTGTCGCCAAACTAGGGATCCGTTTGTTAGGGTTATTTGGTACAATGAGATCTCCTTAATGGGCTGAGGATTGCCAGATTCCTTCAATATCTTCATAAACAAATAGAAGAAAATCGGATTGACCAGTGCCCCTTCTCTCACCTGCAATATTTTAAACCTTTGCTTGTTTCTTATACATGTGCACAACAAAATCCTACAGCTAATTAAGTTCACAGCTGAGGGTCCAACATCTCGCCTACAATATTATAAAACAAAATGCAGCATTAAACTATTCATGTTCGATGGTTTGTTTGAATGAGAAGTAAACTTGACCTAATAATGGAAGAAGCAAATATGATGTTTTTGAGTTTTTGTTTTGGTAGACTTATCAAAGTTTTTTAGTTTTTGTTTTGGTGAACTTATAAAGTTTTCTTATCAAGAAGCTGGGGACTTTTTTTTAGAGTGGTCCGAAATATGGATTTTTCTAATGAGTGTCTCGAGGGCACTTGTTAAGACATTTAAATTACACTTAATTTATCATATTAATCACACATTTACATTTATTTTCTCCCTTGCATTTAGATAGTGTTCCCAATTAATGTCACTCTTACAAAAAAAAAAAAAAACTGTTGAAACTATCTTAACAAGTGATTGAGATCACTCGTTTGCTAAATCCTTGAAATATTTGATGACAATGATGTATGGACTTTTGGTAATTTTTTTCCGAGTTTATTGTATTGGGTGTATGGACTGTCAGATATTGAGGCAATGGGAAAACTCAAGATGCTGCAAATGGGGAGGTAGGGTTGGATTAAGTGATAAGGTGGAAGAAATTATAAGTAGGAGGTTTTGGATTCAAGACCTTCCACTCATAAAAATAAAAAATGCCACAAACGATTAGAAACCAATTATTACTCGTACTTGGTCAAACTAAAATTGATGTCACGTTGCAAAAATATTTCAAGACCCTTTTTTTCCTTTTATCATGAATTTAATTTTTTGAAAAGTAACAGTTTTTGAGGCTCACTTCCCACTTATGATCTGTTAACAGAACTTAATTTAAGAGAAAGTACACACACACTTCAATGCCTGTGTTCAATGTATTTAATTAAGATGTTCAATCCTTTTTTTTTTTTTTGTTTTTAAAGATGTTCTTATTCCCTTCTCACTAAAAGAAATTTTTTTTGAGCATACTAAAAGAAAGTTTACAAATAAAGTACTATAAAATCATAAGAAAAACTCCAAACCTGGTTTATGACAATTGGAAATAAGATTTATATCTATAGAGAAGAAGCCTGACCCATAAAGACACACAATTGAAAAGGCGGCACCTTTTTCTTTAAATTTTTTTTTTCAACAAGAGAGGATGAGATTTAAGAGTAGAGTGAGAGAAAAAGAATTTGAACTCAGAACTTCAGTTTTGGAGTTTCAAATTTAGTCACTAGACTAAAGTTTTGTCGGTGAAAGCACTAAATAGTTAGGATTAGTGTTTCCTACACTGACAATGTATACACTATCAGCGTTGGATGAATGACAACTATGCAAAATTTGAATTTGAAATTTAATTTTTGCACACATGTCATGAATCAAACGGTGATAGTGTATACACTGTCAGTGTATATAAGATTTACTCAAATAGTTAAGGAAATATTTAATGATTTGATCTAAGTAGGGATGTCTGTTTAAATTACTGGACAGATTTAATTTTGAAATTAAAGAAAAAAATTGTTTCAAAATTAATTAGTCAGCCTCTAGATGGTAAAGCCCAAACTGGCCCTGCCACAAAATATAATTTAAATATAAACAAATTAATTCTAAAATTAATTAGTCAACCTCTCTATTAGCAAGTCTAAGTAGTCCAACTGCCTTGAAGTGCCCAAAAGCACGCTCAACGTGCCAATATATTTAATGTTCTTTGTACAAATAAACCGAATATATTCTGACAAACATTTTCCTTCTGACCAACTTCAAATCAAATTTATTAAGGTAAGAATCTTGACCTACAATTTTCGTAAATACATTCTTCTATTAAAAAGCCTTTTTTTTTTTGTTTTTCAAAAAGATAATGGATGTTTCTTGTGTGCATCACATGTGATTTTTTTTTTTTAATTGATGCATTATTCTAGTGTCCAATCCTCACACTCAACAGCGATACAGAATACTAAACAAGGAAAACATAAAACAAGAAAGAACTATAAAAATAGAATACACGCGATGCGCAGTGAAAGCGCTGGTTCGTGAAGTGAGGACAAGCTGCAACTGTCCCGGACGGTTTTGGTCATTTTCAACTGCGCGTAACTTTCTTTGTACATCGCGTAACTTTTTTTGCACATCGCGTAACTTTAGAGCAAATTTTTGTGGGTTCCACACATGACGTGGAAATCGAGTTACAACTTGTGATCTCAATCGCACAAATTTTTGAGACCAGATCATGACCATTAACCGTTCAGGGTATGACCGTCCCTGCCCCATTTCCGTGAAGTGAAGGATCCACGAGGGTTTTAGCCTTTAGGGGACAGTGAGATCTGTGCAATATATATTAATTATCTCGCTCAGTCTTAAACCAGCATAAACAGTGGGATTCCGGATTTTGCTTGTCAGGCAGAAGATCTGGAGCTGCCCAATCCCTTCATAATTGATGTATTATTGACGTGCGCGGAGTATACATATACAATTAAGCTCATCCTAATCAAGTTTTACATTTATAAACTCCTAAATACCCCACACGCGATTTATCGCAAGTATACGAATCGTGAGCGAGTATAGGGTATTAAGGGTCGATCCCACAAGGAAGATTGCAATTACCGGTACTACTAAAGCTTCTCTATTATTTAGACTATCAATGAATTATAACAAATTAAAGCCTACTGAAATTATACAAGATAGCAAATAAAAGCTCCTTAGGTTGTGGTATCCCCAACTACTCATGCAAGTGCTATATTTGGATCATTGAGTACTACATCTAGGCTAATTATGGTGTAATTTCCTTATGCATTTGAATCCTACTTTCGTAGTGAATCAATTATACTCATAACTAATCCATACCTATTTTCATGGTTATGAAATTAGCTACAAGTTCATTTCTTCAATGAAATTACATGAAATGAATCACTAAAAACCACATAAGTGCACCTCTACTTTCGTGAGTGTACTCCCTATGTTTAGCACTTCTTGAACTAGTGTTAAATCTCAATTTCCATTGCAGAAACAACACCTTAGATAATCACAATCAATGGTACCAGATTAATCATGATTTAAAGAGCCAAAGTGCTAAATAACTTGCTCAAATCATAGCAATCAAATAACCAAATAATAAACACTAACAATTATAGAAAGTTCAACCAAACCCAAGGTATAAACTTTAGAAACACATAATGAACACAAAATCCAGAACTTGTATATTAACTAAACTTGGAATCAAATACAAAAGATAAAGAAATTGGAAGGAATACAACCCTTGTCACATGAGCTTTCTTCCTTGCCTTCTTCATCCTCCATCTTCATCCTAATCTAGATAATAAACAAGAATGGAAAAGCTACACTACTCTATACTAAGCTAAACTAACACTAGGGAGATGAAAGAGCTACATTTCTGCAGCTTCAAGCTTTCTCCCGTAGCTCACTCTCTATTTTCTGCTATGGACTCCAATCTCTCCAATTTTTGCAATGCATTTTGGCTATTTAATGATGAAAGGTGGTCAAGAAATGAGGATTACATCTCCCTTTTACAGCTGGGAATGTTTCTCACATGTCTAGCATCCAATGTGAGTTGGTGGAGGTGAAATTGAGTTTTACGCGTACAGAGCAGCCTTTTCTGACCAGTGATCCGAGCTGCTACAGTACCTCGGATCCGTATGGATCCGAGCTCGGATCCACTAACCCAGAAACAACCGAGGGTTCGGATGAATAGTGGATCCGAGTGTGGATCACTTGCTCTGTTTTTTGGCCCAACTTCAACCAATCTTTTCTTGATGTTAGAGGCTGAACCAGCTCATGTCTAAAACACGAAAGTTGTAGCCTTTTGAGTTATCTTTCTAATGCATCAAGAATCACCTCATTTGGATCTGTGTAGGCTGAGATATGACTGAAATACCCTTGCCTGCTCATTGCCCTGTTCCAGCTTCGACCAGTAGAAATTTGCTATTGTAATTCGGCATTTTGACCTGGAAAACCTTCAAACTGGATTTAGATGTCTTCACCAAAGTTGTAGATCTATCTCTTATCTTCAAATGGGTTCAAGAATCATCCCAATCCGATCATTGTAACTCAAGTTATAGCCGAAATACGAAAATGTGTCAAAACTGTCAAAATACACAAAATCCAAGTAAAAAGTGATAAAAACCTCATTTAATCACTTAAAAGCATTTTTCACCAATTATAGCCAAAATGATTCATATTCTTCCAATAATATAACCAAAGTGACTAAAAATAATATAAAATGTCATACAATTATTACGTAAATTAGTCACTTATCAATTATACTATTGGCATAAAATCAATGCCATTACAAATCGCAATTCCAACTTCCCCACTGTTCATTTAAAAATGGATTAAGATTGTTATATGATATTTTCATGTCTTTCTTCAAGTTGTTCATGAATTGGCTCTTTATGCTAAATCATCTGATTATGTTGAATTTTTCTAAAATTCTCCCCCAACTTTGTCAATCATTTGCTGCTCAACATTTTTCAGTAATCTTAGTAATAAAATCTCCTCTTTATTTATTTATTATCAAAAAAGGGTGCTCGAGTATTTAAACATTTATGGAAGATTCTACTAAATCGGGATGGTTGTTGCTTTATTGATGTGGCGCCTCTCCACTTTTAATCCCACAAAATCTCTTTCATGGTTTAATAACTGAAATCTTGAAAATCTACTAGAGATGTCTTCTTTTTTTCCTGTAAACCATGATTCCTCAATCAAGTGCATATTTTGGTACTTCCATATTTTAATTCAGGATGTAAACCTCAACTTTTAGAAAAGTTTTGCAATTTCTTTTGTCCATGCTGTGCACTAGTTATAATTCTGTTTATGTTTGGTATCATGTTAGTGGAACTATCGACGTAATCTATCATGATCTAATTCCACTTTAAATGACCA